TCTTCCGATGGATATGTCTTCGAAGAACTTTCACCAGATGCATTGTCCATGGATGTCTTGGAATATGAAAGAACAGGTTTTATGGCCTGATAGGCATGGGACCTAACCAAGCTTGCTTTTGGTTTTCCCCACCCTCTCTTTCTTCTTTTTCTTCTTCGTACTTTCTTACTGATTTTCTTAGTCTCCAATTGATTTGGAGGTCTCGTTATCACCTGAACGCTCATTGCTCTAAGAGCAAGAACAGTACACCTTCTGTTGTTTCCCTGAACACCAGTTCTGTCTTTGTCCACTTCTCCTGAACTCAGATTCTCGTTATCATCCTTTGCAGTTGTACCTTGATCCTCTGCGTAAGAAGAAGGGTTCCCCTCGAGAACATTCCTTCCCAGTGCACGGATCCTCTGTGTGCATCCATTTCTATACAGCTCAAGCTCTTTCTTTCGCATAATCATGTCCAGTTCAGACTCACAACCATCAAAATCCCTTATATCGGAAACTCTCAACCCCTCAAATTGTTTCACCTCATATCCACATTTGTTATGCAATGATCTTGCAGATACATCCATCACCTCAGAGATGGATGTATGTGCAAGCCCTTGATTAGGATTCAAGCTACCAACAAATTCCATATCCGCATTCTCACTAGAAATTGTTTCCTCTACCGAGTTTGTTGTAATTCGTGATTGAGAATTGGAAATTCTTGCTTTCGCTGATTTGCATCTCGCCCAGTTCAACTCGAATCTTAGGTCAGTGACGATATCCTCAGCTTCTTGAAGCTGAGCTTCAAGCTCGTCAATCCGCCTTTGCTGGTTTGATGACGTAATCTCTGCTTCAATTGCCTGAAATGGGTACAAAGTCAGACACATTCACCAGCTTGGCGAATGAAAATCAGAGGAAGTTGAAGTTAGATCTTCCACATCGATCCTTTCAAGAGTTCTAAAACAGTTCTCGTTGTCACAGAATAAGACAGCAGATTCCACGGGAAGTTAACATATTTATATTAACAGGGCGTTATATCATATATACTTCGCCGATCTATGGATTCCAATGCAGAACAAGAGCTTCTGGAAATGGCCAATGGACTAAATTTATCCCACCTGTCTCTGCCAAGACTGAAACCCTAAAAAGCGGATCCATCAACTAAGATCTATCTCCACAGAAGACAAGACAGTAAAACAAGATTAAACAAGGATCAATCTCCAAAAGAAATCAACAAGAGAAAAAGTTTCTGAAAACAAGAAACGGAAACAATAAGCACTCTCCTAAAGCAATCAACTTGAACAAGAAGAATCTCAAGTTTCAGCATTTTGTTTCTCCACTGGTCGACAGCCAGACAAATCATCCGACACATTAATCGTCAACCCCTCGAAAATTTCAAAAACCTGCGTAGATTCTCGGCATTTCTCCTATATAATCCGTTTCTTAACGATTTCAAACAGGCATGGTTCCAGAATATGACCTTAGCATCGATCATCTGCTTCAATCGGACAAGCAACCGATACTCCTCTTCCTTCACACCACACAGATCTTGTTGAAACCGAACAGCTTTTCTCTCCGACAACATAACCCTAGCAGCAGCTTCCTTCGCCGTGTTAAGAACTATCTCGGCGTAGGCTTTATTCAAGGCCGACGATTTCTGCCACCCAAAGAACGAAACTCGCGTCAAAAGCAAATAAACACAGATCATGAAACCAGTAAGAAAACATAAAATTTCCCCACTGAATTTACATCAGATCCCTCCATGGTCCAACAAGAAGAAGAGCGGAACTCGGAAGAAGCAGAGAGAAAGAACACTCGCCCTTGCCGCTGGGAAAATCACTCTGTACACCACAAAAAACATAACACATTTTTTTCTCCATAAAAAGACGAAATTACCCTTAATGAATCACGATATTTATCCGTTCGAAAACAACTTCGTTATTACGACTTCGTAATTAACTTTAAATATAGTTACAAAAAGGTGGCAAAAAAAATTATCCGTCTTATTTTAATTGTATATCAGTTATATGTTAGTCACACAAAGGTCGCAAAAAATAAAACGAAAAGGGTATTTTGGACTTTTTCAATCGAAAAGTGGATTAAAATTGAAATTTTTTTTTTTTTTTACCCTGAAATTGCTGCGACCACCTGGTTATTAGGGTTAAAACCCCCTGCCGTTGGTCAGGAACTGCCCGGCCTTCCACTAAATTACGCTTTTACCCTCTGGAAACGACGTCGCTGTTCTGTCCTAACACGGCGAGGAAAACAACGTCGGACGGTAATTTTTTTCAAAAAACTCAAATATCATTTAGCACGTTATACATGAAAACGTGTAAGATCAGAATCACTCTTTGTAAATGCAAATATAAAGTTTTGAAATTGCGGTTCATCAGTGCAAAGGTGTGAAATATCGGATTTATCCTTTGGTATTTTAATAATAAATTAGAGATACACGTTATATTTTTTTGTCCTCGTGACTATTTTAATATTCCCACAAAAAAACAAACATAATCCATAGCAAAATTCGCTTAAAAACAATAAATAATCGTGAGATCAAAACATAAAAACTTGGAAATAGATAAATTTTTGATAAAGTCTTGTATTTATCGTGATCATTTATGATATATATTTAGATTTGAGAGTTCTAGGAAATACGAGAAATAATGGTCACGCATTTAAAGAAGTGGATAATTTATTTGGAATGAGGCTGTTTAACACAAGGTTTGTGTAACAATGGGAGGTACCAAATGTTACGGTCATTATATGGAATGTGGTTATGATAACATCGGGATTGGTCGAAAATCGTGTTCTTAAACGATATCTCTTCGCAACTATGATTACAATAACGGAGAATTTTATTTGGAATGCGGTTTAATGAAGTCATGGGTGGCCCAAAATCATGCTCTTAAAAGCCTATAATGAATCGTATAGCCATAGTGAGCGGTGTGGTTACGGTGATGGATCGAGAAATTGTTTGGAATGTGGTCGAAAAAGCATTCTCGCAGTGTCTTAGATTGAGTCATAGCAAAAATATCCCTGCTCGTAGTGAGTCGTAACAAGCGACGTGTAATGAGTCGTTATAGGTGATATGACTGGAATGAGTCGTAGGAGTGATAGGTCCGAGTGAATCCTGGTGAGTCATTTGGCTAGCTAATTATCGAGAGCGAGTTGTAGCGAGTCGTTTAGTCAATGTGAGTCGCAATGAATCGTAACAAATGGTATACCAATAGTCACTACAAAAAAAAATCACCGATTTTCAACGGATTTTCCAACTGATTTGTCCATTGGAAAATTTTCAATGGATTTTCAACGGTTTACAACGACGATTTCCGTTAAAATTTCGTTGAAATTTCCAACGGATTGCCGTTGGAAATTTTTAACTTACTTAATTAAAAATTTTGGTTTAAAATGTCTAACCACATTTCCAACGGAAATCGGTTGGAAATTTTCAACGAATGTCGTTGGAAAATCAGTTGGAAATTTTCAACGGAATTCCAATGGATTTCAGTTGGAAAAAAATTTCAACGGAATTTTAAATGATTTCGGTTGGAAATTTTTATTAAAAAAATTTCAATGGAATTCCAAAGTATATCGGTTGGAAATTTGGATTTTAGTTAAAAAAAATCAATTGAAAAATATATATACGAATATATATATATATATATATATATATAGTTTAAAAATATGTATTTTATGTATAAAGATATTATATATATATGTATATCGATATGTATAAACATATTATACCTATATATATAAACAAGTGTATATATATACGAATATATATATATATATATATAATATATATATAGTAGGTATTAGGGTAAGCTCTCGTTTCAGTACATTATTAGTACCGTATATTATTCGGTTTGGTTAAGTTCTGATTTTGATATAGTTCGGTTATGGTTTTTGTAAAACAATTTAGATTTTCTTAAGAAAGTTTTGGTTTTTTTGAGAATTTTATAAAGTTTAGTTCGGTTCAATTGCGGAAAATTCAGTTCTATAAAAAAATATACCGTTCATAAATTTTGAATGCTATGATTCTGAAAAAAAATATCAAGATTTTCGGTTCGATACTGTAATATCCCGATTCTCGTATAAATTATTTAAATTATTTTTGGAATAAAAGGAGGGTAAAATAAGGCAAAAATATAGAGAATATTCAACGAAGATCTAGAAGAAAACGACACTCGATTTGACTGAGAAACGAGGAAGTTATGAGCAAATGAAAATTGAGTAGAACCTGGAAATTCGGAATTCACAAGTTATTCGAGGTATGGACGTTTCGAGTTGTAAACGTGAGTTTCCAATAATCTATTGATTGGACATGAAAGAGGACGTTCCAAGGAAGGTGTAGAAACAAACGGTGCTCGATTCGGGTAAGAAACGAGTGAGAACGGAGCAATCGAAGTCAGTCGGGACGGACCAGAAATGCAGAACGGACGGACTGACAAAGGCAGAACGGACGGACTGCTAAAGGCGGAACGAACGGAACACGAACGAACGAGGAGGTGGGTCGAAACTGGGCCCAGACTGTTCGTTCCAGGCCCAGAACGGACGGTCCGCTTGACAGCACGCAAGTGGCCAACTTGCTGC